CATAGGAGCACGGCAGAACAGTTGTTTTACCAGTGCAAGACAAGCCTTGTGGCGAGAGGCGGAAGGGGAAACGCAGGAGGGAGGGGGGAGGGAGCAGGGGCGAGGGAGGCACACGCGCCCGCGCGCGCGCCAGGCCCGGCCGCGGCGGCAGGGGCAGCACCGAATTCATCGGGCGCGCCTGGGCGAGCAGCCAAGCGCTCTCGGAGGGCCGCCCGCCAATCGGCCTCGGCGCCCCCGGCTCGCCCCGCCTGGCCCAGCAGCAGCCCGACCGCCCGCGGGGGCAGCACAGGGTTCCGCCCAGCGCAAGGGCGGCTCGCCAGGCGCCGCCACGTGGGGGCCCAGCAGCCGCACCGGACGCAGGCAACCCAGCCAGGCCCTTGGGAAGCCACGTGGGGCCGCCATGCCGCGCCCTCGAAGACCGCCCGCGCCGCGGGTGCCGGCGCAGGCCGCGGGGGCAAGCCCTGTGGTTGCTGGCCCGGCCGCGGCGCACGCCGTCGCCGGCCGCCGGCCGCGGCCCACCGCCGGCGCACGCGCGGCCCATATGGGGACCCCGCCCGCCGTGGTTCGCTCTCAGCGCCTCCGACTCCGCAGCGGCCAGGAGCCGAGCGCCTGGAGTTGCCGGGCCCGCTCCTGTAGCGAGGCAGGAGGCGACAGGCGGGCCGTGGAGGCGCCTGCAGCGAGCGCGCCGGCCGCGCCGTTACCCTCCCAGTCCTCGGCGGTGAAGCCCCGCAGCAGGAAGTCCTCCTGGGCCAGGTGGGCGGGGACCCAGCGCGCCCGGAGCATGCCCGCCCGCGCGTGGGGCGCGATGAGCTCCCACAGGTCAGCGTGCGCCCACGCGTCCATCCGCGCCCCGCCGTGGATAGCAGCAATGCCGCGACTGACGAGCCGCGAATTTGTGACCACCTCGACGGGCCCACCGGCCAGGCTCAAGGCGTTGGCCACCGCGGTAATCTCCGCGCGCTGCGCAGTCTGCGCGCCGTCCACCGGCCCGCTGTGCTCCGCACGGCCTGCGCCGGAGTCCAGGCGGAGACCCCATCCGGCACGCGCCAGCAAGGGGTCCCCTGGGTGGGAGCACGCGCCATCAGTCCAGGCGCGTGCCCTGGGCGCCGTTGCGGGCGGCGCCGCCAACCTCCTCGCCTCCTCCGCGAGTGCAGCCAGGCGCGGGTCCACCGGCAGCACGCCAGTGCGGGCGGTCTCGGCTGGGAGTCTGGAGCGCACCACCTCGCGCGTGAGGCCCCCGCTAGCCAGCGCCACGGCGCGCGCTGCTTCCCAGCACGGGCAAGCCCATATGCAGTGCTCGAGGTCCTCCACGGCTGCGCCGCAGTGGGGGCACCTGGTCGGTCGGCCCCGTTTCGCCGCCACCGATTCTGTGATGATGTTGCCGGTCAGCACGACCCGCAAAGCCCCGGCCGCGTCTGGCACCAGGTCCTCACTCTCGAGAAGCCGCCGCGTCGCCCACCTGTCGGTGCCCGCGGCCAGATGCGCGAAGTCGGGCCGCCGCGCCGCCAGCGCCCGCGACTCGCGGCGGGCCCAGGCGTCCAGCAGGACCGCGCGAGTTTCTGGCAGGCCGCGGTACGCGGGCCTCCAGCCGCCTGGCGCAGCCGCCACGCCCGACCAGCACTCGACGTCCGAGCCCAAGCGCAATTCCGCGAGATTCTGGAGCGCGGCCGCCATGGGCCCGTTCCCGCGGCCGTGCCCTGCGTCCATGGCCCCGGCGGCGCGCCGCCACAGCTCGGCAGGGAAACGCCGGCGCCTCAATGCCTTCGCTGCCTGCCACAGCGGAGCGAGGACCACGACCGCTTCCGGGTCGAGCCGCCAGCTCGGCAAGAGGACTCCGAAGACCACCTCCGCGGCCGCCCTGAGCCCACCCCGGCAGACCGCCTTGCGCGCGGCGGTGCGAAGCCCCGCAAGCTCTCGCGCTGGCGGCCGCCCGCAAGCTGCGCCGTAGAGCCCAGCCGCGGTGCCGGCGGCTGCGCCCAGCAAGCAGCGCTGGCGGAAGCTGACTGGCAGCCGGCCGAGGCGGGCGAATCTCCCCTGGGCCACCCGCAGACGATTCGCCGTGACGACACAGAGGCGCGAGCGGCCCGCCGCCGACGCCACCCCCAGATCCTTGATGTCCTGGCGGGCGGCGATGCCCGGCGTCTGCACGGCAAGCCACGTCCTAAGGGCCCTGCTGGAGGCGAGCTGGCGGCTCTTCGCGCGGTTCAGCCGCCAGGCCATGGCTGTCTCGAAGGCCTCCGTGACTTGGATCGCGTCTCGGACCTCCTCAGCAGCCTCGCCGGCGTCGACCCGCGACCAGAGCGTGAAGCCGTCGACGTCAACGCGCCGACGCAGGCGGTCGCTCAGCCTGCCCGTGCGGACCACCCCAGGCCGAGGCAGGACGCCCAGGAAGAACACCGCGAGCGGGCACCCAGGAAGCAGGCCGCGGGTTGGCGACCAGGGCCCGCCAATCTTACCAGCCTCGAACGTATCCCTATCCCTAAGATTGACACGCCACAAGGCGATGACAATCTTAGGGATTCGCCCTCAAAAAATATGAGAATCCCTAAGATTGGCATCGTGATGAGGAGATGCCCAGCATAGGGATAGGGATATGTTCCAGGCTGGTAACAATCGCCTTGCCGACGCGGGCCTGGCGGTGAGCACGGCAGGCGGCCATGGCGGGGCGCGCCAACCAGGGGGGGACACCTGCTCGGGCCAGCGCGGCGGGCAGCGTGCCGAGGTCCACCTCGTCGTAAACCTTGCGCCAGTCCAGCGCTGCGCCCACGACCTCCTGCGACGGCGCGTCGCCAGCCTCCAACTCGAGGGCGAGCTCCCAGGCCCACTCCTCCGCGCCTCGTCGCCACTCGTCACCTCCCCAGCTGATGCGCCACCGCGCGAACAGCCGGGCCCGCCCGCCAGCCCACAAGCGGTGGAGAATCGGAAGCAGCCAGATTGGCCGTCTCTCCAAGGGAGCACGGCAGGACGCACAGGAGCACGGCAGAACCCCCAGAACACATGGGAGCACGCCAGAGCACACAGGAGCACGGCAGAACGCGCAGGAGCACAGCAGCACACACAGGAACACAGGAGCACGGAAGAACACATAGAATGCATAGGACCACGGCGGAACACACAGGAGCACGGCACAACACGCAGGAGCACGACAGAACACACATGAGCGTGGCAGAACACGGCAGAACACGCAGGAGCATGGCAGAACACACAGGAGCACGGCAGAACACAGGAGCAGGAGGAGCACGACAGAGCACGGCAGAACAAGCAGGAGCGCGGCAGAACGCGCAGGATCCTCACACGTCCCTATAAGCCTTCCTTTTCACTACGAGAAGCCCCCCCTGGGAAGACCAGCACCCGATGGGCCAGTCATTCCCGCGAGGGTCTCGCTTCGAGAATGGAATTGGCATGCACACTCGAGCGAGTGAGACGGAATGCGAAGGGTCTGATCATGCAGGTCATCGAGGTGTCTACCGAGATCTCCGTTGTGAAGCACGGCCGCCCCCCCCCGTTCGTGTTGCACCAGGTTACACTCCGGGTCACACACTTCGGGGAAGTCACACGCGAGTCCGCACAGGTGTTGCATATGCCTCAGTTTATGGTGTCCAGCGAAAGCCCCACTCTGAAAGGAAGCGGAATTGCATCCGCGGAGCTGCGGCAAGGTTTTGAAGACGCATGTGCGCGGCGCTAATGCGATACCAGCATTTTGAAAACGTGTGCGCCCCCCCTTCGTCTTGGAAGCGGCTGCAACATGTGAAGGCGAACGTGACTCGGGAGCCGCATTTGAAGACGGCCACCTCCATCCTTGAAACGGGTTCACTGTTCAGACAATATGCACGGAGCAGAATCGAGAGTTCTATTTTGAAAATGACACCCCCTGCCCCCGTCCCTCCACCCCTTCAAGGGATGGAAAAACGACCCTACCCTGAGTTACAAGTACGCGGGTCTGTAAACCTCGTGGGAACCCCCGTAACCTAGAGAGCCGCCAGGACGCCGCACATCACGCAGGGTTTACCCTGTCAGCCCACAGGAGGTTCAGCGCACAGCGCCTCGTAAACCAGGGTAGGGGCGTTTTGTACGCCCTTGATCCCTGAAGCTGTTGCAACTTCTAGCTCGAGGATCATGGATGATGAGACAGCTCCAGGCGAAACACCCCGCAAGCCCTATCGATACGCCTGGGGGCGCGACAGGGAGTTTTTTTCATAGATGAGGGAAAAGGATGGACAGAGGAGGACGAGGAGGAGGAGGAGGAGGAGGAGGGCCTTGGAGATTCCATCCAGGGCTTCCTCGAGCTTCTCACTGTGTTTCTGAAGCGGGCTTGGAGAGCTTCTAGGGGGGGGCCTTGGAGGTTCCATCTGGGGTTTCCTCGAGATCCTCACGGTGCTTCTGGCGCGGGCTCGGGGAGCTCCTGCTTCTCGGGGAGGTGTCCACCACCGCCGCGCCTCCGAAGGGCGCAGTCCTAGAGAGGCGGGGTGAGAGGTCCGCAGGGGCGGGCGGGGCGGCTGCGCGGTCGAAGGGCGGGACCGGAGCTGGCATCTTCGGTGCGTCCGCGGGCCGGAGGGCGGCGAGGGCGCGGGCGGAGCCGGAAGGCTTGGTGATGCATTGAGGGATAATCAGGGCTCGTTTCGATTCTTACGATTCGATTCGATTCGGCTTCGACGGCTTCCGATTCCGATTCGATTCGACTTAGGATTCCGGTTTGGGCTCCGATTTCTCATTGGAGGCATACCAGCTTGCCGACGTCCGCCGATTCGTTTTTGCCCAACTCTGCTGCCGATTTCCGCCGATCCGACTCCTGGGTTTCTTTGCTCGACGCGCTACGTGGTAGTTCCCAGCGGCCGCGGGAGGAGGTGCTGCATTCAGGGTGCTCCGGGTTTCCCCTCAGGTGCTTCTCGCGCGCGGGTTTTAAGGTTGGGTGTTTTACGAGGGTTTCTTGCGACCGCGCCCGCACTGTAATGCGGGATCTTGTCTGCGCTTGGTGGCGATGTGCATTTCGTTCTCTTCAGGACAGCTCCACCGACACCGCGACTGGGGCGAAGCACTACCCGCAGAAGGCGCGGAGCACACCGCGGAGGCCAGTCGGCATGCCTGCGTCGTCGTGCTCCTCCTCACCTCCGCCTCATCTTCCCGCCCGTCCGCGTCCCCTCCCCCACCTTTTCCTCATGGGCCTTCGATTACCTCTCGTCGCGCTACCAAACGTGTAGATACGGCGCTTTGTACATTTCGCCTGAGAGTTCCTTGCGGTTCATGGGGGTCGAAGGCAGATGCTCACAACGCATATTCAGAGGGAGGGCACATGGCCTTCAAAGTTTTGATGTTCAAAGTTGCACGGACCGAGATACCACGTGGAAGCATTTACTTGGCAAGTGGCCCTAAACAGCAAAACCATATGTTGCGTCACATGTTGCGCCAGACACCCCACGGACAACAAATCGTGCTTGAATGGGTGCGCCATCGGGTGCGCCATGGGCTGCGCAAGAAACCCCGCGGGCAACCAAATCGTCCGCACCAGGCAGCCCAACCAAATCGTGCGCCGTCCGAGTGGATTCGCCGTTAGCTGCGCCGCGGCCCCTCAGGTCGCGCCCGACACCCCGCGGGCAATGAAATGAGCAGTTGCCCCGATGGGTTTGCCACAGGTTGCGCCAGGCACCCCGCGGCAACGAAGTCGTCCGTTGCCGCAGCGAGTGCGCAAGAAATTGTGCCAGAGGGTGCACCCTGGGCTGCGCCAGACACCAGGCGAGCAACTACATCGACCGTTGCTTGAGCGGGACCTTGCGGGCAACCAATGTGTTGGTTTCCCCAGTGGGTGCATCATAGGTTGCATCAGAGGTGGGATTGTGCCAAACACCTCGCAAGCAATTAAACCGTCAGATGCCTCAGTGGGTTAGGTTGCGCGCTGGGTTGCGCCGCACACCTCGTGAGCAACCATTTCGTCCGTTGCCACAGTGGGTGTGCCGAAAGTTACGCTACAGGGTGCCTGCTGCATGAGGGGTGGGGGTGCCGCTGCATGAGTGTGCCTATCGCAGGTCGGCTCGTGTGGAGTTTCCTGTTTGCATGGTGACCTTGTGTTCGCACAGCGGTGCAGCGGTTGAGGCCGGGTCGTGTGAAGTTCTGTGCCCGCGCTCCACCCTCCATCTTGTCCCCCCTCCGCCCCCCCCGCATGCCACACGCTCTCCAACGACGGGCGTCGGGAGTGCCCCCTATCAGATACTTTAATTCAGTACTGCAGCTGTACTTCTAGTCAGATGGCACTTGCTGGAATATCGTGTTGTGCTCGCTGGGTTGGGAAAAAGTTGCGCTACAGGGTGCACCAAACATCCCGCGGGCATAGATTTCGTTACTTCAGTGGGTGTGCCACAGGTTGCGCCATAGGTTACGAAAAACACTCCGTGGATTATCACATCGTCCGTTGTCTCAATAGTCTTGCCGTCGGTTGCGCCACAGCTTGCGCCAAGGAAACCTAAGGAATCTAGTTTGCTGACGAAGTGGGCACACCTTCAATGGAATTGATAATGACTGCAGCATGCGTAAAATAGGGAATTGGTTGTATAATTGGAGACTGTGCCAAGATGTTTGGCACCATACCCCCAACATGTACGCGGATGGAGGACTACTCGTGTTCAACATGATTTGTTATCTGTTGGTGCGCCGTGGCACTTTGTAATTCGTCACCTCCCTTGAGTAAGACCTCCTTTCGTCCGACCCGTCAGGCTGATCGGCGACGACGGCAGGAGGAGGAGGAGGAGGAGGAGAAGGAGGAAGGGGTGAAGGAGGAAGATAAGGAGGAGGAGGAGGTGGAGCAGGAGAAGAACCAGGAGGAGGGAAGGAGGAGAGGGAAGGAGCAGGAGGAGGAGGCGGAGGGAGTGAGGAGGAGAAGGAGGAGGAGGAGGAGCGACAGGCGAGGGAGGAGGAGCCAGAGGTGGAGGAGGAGGAGGAGGAGGACGAGGGCCAGGACGAGGACGAGGATGAGGAGGCAAGAAACAGGAGGTAAGGAGGAGGAGGGAAGGAGTAGGAGGAGAAGGAAGACAAGGAGGAGGAGCAGGAGGAAGAGGACCTCCCCAGGATGGGCGGCATGTCCGCGTCGCTGGCGCCCCGCAGGGAGCCCGGCCTCGCGCCGCTCGGGCTGCGGCCGGGGCCGCCGCAGGCCAAGGGGGTCTTGCCTTGCCGCCGCCGCCGTCGTCGCCGCCGACGCCGTTTTCGTTGCCGTTGCTGATGTAGGGGGAGGAGGAGGAGGAGGAGGAGGAGGAGGAGGAGGAGGAGGAGGAGGAGGAGGAGGAGGAGGAAGAGAAGGAGGAGGAGGAGGAGGAGGAGGAGGAGGAGGAGGACCAGTGCAAACCCAAGACTCATCAACGATGCTGGAACAAACCCTCCCTCCAGGCTTCGTCTTCACATGCCACTACAAGTCCTCATTTCCCCTGAGGGAAGTGCGCCGTTGGGAGGCAACCGTTTGAAGATCTTGAAACGTGCCAAAACGCCATTCTCGGGACTCCAACGCCACGAATCAACCTGATCGTTGCGATTTAAGAATCCTGAATCGTGCCAGAACGCTGCTCCTGGGATTTCACCACCACGAGTCAGTTAACTGCTGCGTCCTGACACTCATGAGTCCTTCCAAAACGCCGTTTCTGGTACGCAAACCATGGGAACCCGTGAAACTCTTACAATATTTTAAACGAATGTGCGCGGCGCTAAGGCGATAGCCACATGTTGAAAATATACCGCCCTCCATTCGCGAAACTCTTGCAACTTTTGAAACAAATATACCCAGCGCTAAGGCGAGAGCCACACGTTGAAAAACACCCGCCCTCCACTTGTGAAATTGTTGCCACCTCCGTTCTGTGCGCGGGCCGCTGCGGGGGTTGCGAGAGCCTGCAAGGGCGAAGACGATACACAGCACCTCGATACCAGTGTCGCTGCTGATGGTGCTTAGGATGGTGTTGGCGGAGTGGTTGGTGCCGTTGGTGAGGAAGACCGCCACCATAGAGCCCCTCTTGGGATCCGACCAGCCAGCGCTGAAAGATTTGGTGACAGTCTTGAAACTAGCCTCTCGGCCGCGACACCTAGATTGACACCAATCCTGGAGATCATGAAACTCAGCGAGATAGGCTTCGGCCCTGCGAAGCCATTCAGCATACGCCTCACTGAGATTCGTCGGGAGTGCCTCACCGATGTTCCACGACCACCCTTCCGCCCTCCAGAGGCGCGGGCCACGTGGGAGGGGATTTGACCATGGGAAACAGCATGTGTTGCTCTGGCTGAGTAATGGTGGCCATGGCACCGAGCCCTTTAAACTGGACTCTCAGAGCATTGTGCATCTGAACAAAAACCAGATGCAGCCGGGACACACTGGAAACGAACCTGGCAAGCACAGAGTTGCAAGCACCAAAATCAATCTCCAGAGCTCGCTCCCAAGTCCTGAGGCAGACCCCTTGGGGTCTCTGGAGCCACGAGTCCGGGCCACAGGGAAGGAGATTCCAACCGCCCAAGACCACCACCTACGGCCCGTCCAGACTCCCAAGGTGGGACAAGAGGGCGGCTAGGATGGAAACGCTATCCTTGGCCATCCCAATGGGCGTCGCAACGTAGAGAGACACAACACGAATCGAAATCGGAAGGCCAATGTTGACCTTCTCTGTAGTCACACGATGTCCTGGAAGGTGCAATCGATCAGGGATGGACCCCTTCACCGCAGGAATGCTCGGCAGCACTGCTGCACCCCAGCCAGACCTCGAAAGGGCCAGTGCCAGAGATCTCCGCAGAGTCACCGATCCTCCTGAAGCCACGCGGGCTCGACCATTTGACTGCAGAGGACCATTGGTTCTGAAACTTGATCCAGTACAGTCAAGACGCTGAAGTAAGGACCGGTTTGGGCTCGGAAGGGGCTCGCTATTCCTTAGGTCCTCCCATGGTTGTTCCTCTAGCCCTCCTCGTGCACGCAGGGGGCCAAAAATGGACTTCGTTCCTTATTTGACGTGCCGACCGTGCTTCAAGCACTCCACCCGCGTCTGAGCCGATGACCACTGCGATGCGAGCGCACTTGCGGGGGACCTCGCCGCGGGAAGCTGCCCCCCCCCCCCCGTAGCTCCCGACTGCCCCCTCTGCTCCCCGAGGGAGCTCGGGTTCAAGGCCAAGGGGGCAAAGGCCCCGCTGCGTTGGGTCGCTACCCCCGACGCGGCTTCTTGGCTCGCGAGCTGGGGGAGCCCTACAGCCGCTTGCATGCCGTCTTGTCGGTTGGGACCGCGTGGCCTGCTGCCACAAATCCAGCCTGCAGCTCGGTGTCATCAGGGTCGAATTCAAACGGACACAGCTGCGGCATCCATGGGAGGAAGCTGAGCACCACTGCCAGACCCGGCACTGCCACCACTACTGGCCGAAGTGGCGGCGTGAAGGGCTGCAGGGGGTGCCCTGCCCTGGCCTTGAGCTTCTTTTTGATTTCGCCCATCTCGTTCCCAACCGCAGCAAGCTGGGATAAGTCGGTGTTGAAATGACTGTTCGCCCTGGCGAGGAAGGTGTGCGGGGCCTCTAGATTGGCCAGGGTGTGTTGGGGCTCATCCACATCATGACAGAGCGCGCCTGAGCCTCACGAATGGCCGCGTCAATCGTCTGAAGGTTCTCCTCATGCTCTGTGATCGTCTTCTTGGCCTCTTCAGCATGCTTGAGGGCGAGCTCAACGGCGTCGTCAGCTTCCGAGCCGCAAGCTTTGGCGGCATCAAGCCGGTGGAGCTTGTGTGTTCTTGAGACGCAGCAAGTTCTGCAAGCCCGTCGACGACAGGTCTGCTAGAGCAGACGGAAGGGGTTTGGCAGCCTGCGCGTCAGCAAATTCCACCTCACTGACGTCTGTCCTTGATGACTTGGCGAACTCTGTGAGCACGAGGACCATCAGATCCTTGTTGGATTCGAGGGAGGAGGAGGAGCAGGAGGAGGAGAAGGAGGAAGAAGAGGAGGGGGAGGAGAAAGAGAAGGATGAGGATGAGGAGGGCGAGTTGCGAGTTCCGAGCTATCCCACGTGGAGGTCGAAACGAGCTACGAGCTGTCTGAGCATACGACAGACGCATTCTATGGGTCCCCTCCTTCCAGCCCCCAGCAATGTGTAGCCGCCCCCCCACAGGAAGGGCCCCGAATGTATCAGTAACACAAACAGACTGGAAACATTCAGAGGTAAGCCATTAAGACGCAGTAGTTGTTTTGCAGATCCGAGGCAACGAGTGCAGGTCTGTCTGGACTGGTCCGAGCAATACTGACACACGAGAGCACGAATAACCGAGAGTGCAGGAGGAGGAGGTCCCCTTCACCCTCGTGGGCGCCCCGCTATTCTCCGCGGCCTGCAGCGTGTCGAGGGTCGCCCTTAACAGGCGGTGCCTGACGAGCCAGACCGTCCTCTCGGTGTTCGCGATTCTGTCGTGAATTTCGGGCGGGATCCTACCTTCCTGCGCCGCTTGGGCGGCTTATTCATCAACACAGTGGTTACCGATGGCAAGCCAAGACGGAGTACACGTCTCAGCAGTCTGCTCACTTGTGAGATGCGAATTCGCAAACAGGATGGAGAGCATCCCCCGACGCGCCCTGGAATGTCCACCGATGTTGTTCCAGAGATCATTGCTAGCCCCTGTGGGCCGCTCGGAAATCCTGCTGTGGAAGCCCCTGGTGACGGCCTTACAGTGGGTGACATACATTATATAATCAGCTTTGCACTCCACTGCTAACAGAAATGCTCGCAGCTCACCTTTGGGTACGCTCAGGACACTGCCTGTCAAAGGGCTCTTGACTGAGGCACGGATGACACACGGATCGTACGATGTGAGAGCAGTGATGGCCAGTCTTACACGCATCAGTTTGGTATCTCCCGACTCCTTCCCCCTTCACGCGTCCCCAAAAACCACAGTGGGTTCAGTATCCCTTCCTCTGCCTCAGCGCTCACATACATATGGCCCGTTCGTGCCGATCAACGTTCAAGCTTCAGCTGAGGGTGGTTGCGGCATCCTGGTCCAAGGGGCTAGCAGTAAACCCCGCAGCTAAAAACAGGGCTCTGCTTCATGCCGGGCAAAAGCAGCACTGATTAAGTGGCCCGAATCGGTGTATGCCTTCCTTCGCCCCCCGTTATCCGAACGCTCCCAGCCCCGATGGAATTGAGACTCAGGCTTGACAAGACAACGAGCACACCAAACCTCATAGTCCCCAGAGATTTCCTCTTGCCTTTTCCGCGCCCAAGACCCACTGGTAGCGATAGACACCATCAGCTTGCTCAGCCTGGTGCCGTGTCGCAACGTTTGCAGCTGTCGAATGAGCTTGCGCATCGAGAAATTATCAACTCCACTCTGAATGCCTTCTCCACAGAAATGTCGCGACGCGTCGCGCCACAACTTAGTCTGGATGGAACTGACAAAATCCAGCAACAGCGGCTTGGGATCGTCATCGGCGATATTGCCCGAAAGCTCCGAGGGGGGAAACTTCAGGCATCCAGGTCCCCCTCGTGGTCGACAGGTGCCTTCCAAAACCAGGGCTCTTCAGGAACCCACTCCGCCTCCAGAAGATGCAAGATGACGGCTCCCGTTGGACCCCGAACCAGACGCGGTCTCTGTCCCACTGGACCCTCCCGTAGACGTTGTAGAACCTTCGGCCAAGCTAAGGCAATACAAGGGCGAATAGCAGCCAAAGTTGAACACTGCTGCAGCCACAGCGCAAAACAACTTCTAGGTTGACAATATCGAGGAGCCCCTCCAGAACTCCGCAGGTCGAGCAACGTTGTGAAACATCTGCCCCTCTTGCCCGATCCGCACATATGTCCCATCTGACGACGACACCAAGTCATGAGGAGGAGAAGGACGAGAAGGAGGAGGAGGAGGAGGTGGAGGGGGAAGAGGAGGAGGTGGAGGGGGAAGAGGAGGAGGAGGAAGAGGAGGAGGAGGAGGAGGAGGAGGGGGAGGAGGAGGGGAAGGGGGAGGGAAGAGGAGGAGTAGGAGGAGGAGACGGCCACACGCCGCCCCAAGCCGAGGGACCCGCGCTGCCGTCGCTGGCGACTGCCCCGTACGTGCTGGCCCCCGCCTGCCGGTCCGTGGCGACCGCGCGGTGAGGGCGGCCATCGACCGCCCGGCCTTTGTCCCTCTGGCCGCTCTCGTCGTCCTCGTCCTCGTCCTCGTCGTCCTTCTCCTTCTCCTCCTCCTCCTCCTCCTCCTCCACCTCCTCCTCATCCTCCTCCTCCTCCTCCTCCTCCTGGGGCCTCTTGGGGGCATCTCGGGGCCCCTTGGGGGCCTCCTGGAGGGAGCCTCTTAGGGCCTCATGGCGGCCTCCTGGGACCGAAAGCTCGAAATGTCTGTTCGGGTTCCTCTATGGGCCTCCGCGTGCCCACCGTGCCTGGGTTGGGTCAGAGTCCTCATGGGTGCTTCTTGGGGTCTGTTCGGAACGCTCTTGGGCCCCTGCGGGGCAGTTTGGGGACCTGGCCGCCGGCAGAGTGAGGCCCCCTCGGATGGACTTTCAGGGAGATGGTTTACCAGGCACTGGCGGATGGGGCAAAAGATTTTGCCAAGCACTCTGTCAGAGAGGCCTCGCACGGCCCAACCTGCAGGCGGGAGCGGCCAAATCTGAAGGGCTTCGCCTTCTGTCGCCAGCCCCCCCTCTGATCGCTTGCGTGGCTGCGCTGGTTGGGGTGCTTCACGATGGATAAATACACCATGCGACTTTTATATACGTGTACCCAAACAAGCGATCTGGACTACATTGGCAGAAGATTCAGAACCTGGTAGTCCAGTCCAAGAAACTAATCGTGGACACCGTCCTCTTTGGGCCACCCGGCTACTTCTGGTATGTGTTGTCGATGCGTGAGTTCTTGTGCGGCAGCAACTTTCGTGTATTACGTGTGCGATGAAGTCGTTTTGGGTATGCACGGTAACAATAACAAAACCCCAATCGGTACAGACATGTTGGTCGCACCCCGTTGACGCATACCGACCCACACGTGGTCATGTCCATGCCCACTAGGGATAAAAGAGCATGTGTTTGATTGGCATGATGCAGCGTAGCACCATAGGAAGTGGAGCCACGATGTCTTAAACGAGCTAATAAACACTCTTGTCAGGTATCTAATTATACAGTCGACCAGGACGAATACCGACCTCAGCCTGTACGAGCGTCGAGATTCCAATTCTACACGCTTCATCAAATTCATGGACTCTGACCCGAAGATGACTGACTGGAATATGGTTCCACGACGAGTCACTATGAACGCCGACATACAAAAACAAGTCATACAGGACATCCAGATCGAGCAGACGCCCGTTGGATATGGTTGGGAAGTTCAACGACCGCCTGGCGTCATATATGTGAAGAAATATTAATATACACATGCGTATGTACTCATACACATACACATATATACATGTATGTATTGAAGAAATAAGAATTCGTGCAACGCCCGCGCCTACGGCAACCATTTGTAGACATGTTTGTCGCTGAGACTAACTACGTGGACCTCGATCCGGGTGACATCTTCGAAGACGCATGGCAGGGCATTTCGGAATCTCTTGCGATCGCTGGAGATGCTCTTCCTGATGAGGAGATCAAGCCAAGGCGTCCATGGATTTCAACGACAACTGCAAATCTTGTCCGGCAACGGGCCTTGGCCCGAGCAGCGGGCGACCATGAATTCAAAAAGCGATTGCACAAAGAAGTGCGGAGAGCGGCGAAGCAAGATAAGAGCACATGTCTAGATAACATGGTCGCCAATGGGTCTTGGGAAGGCGTGCGCAATTTACGGCGCCCGCGAAGGCGCAAACAGGGCCGCCTACGAGATGCGCCTGGGTCTTTGGTGAGCAGTGACAGGAGGGCGGATGTCATGGCGACCTATCTGGAGACAGTCCAGTGGAAGGAGCGCGAAGCAGCCCCTCTTGCAGGGCCGCCATTGGAAGCCTCTCTGGCGATCGGCGCTGGCGACTTCATGCAGGAAGACGTGAAAACAGCTCTAGAAAGGTTGAAGACCGGCAAGGCGCCAGGCCCACATGGCTTACCACCACAGTATTGGAAAGTATTCGCTGACTCGCCAGAGGCCGTTGAGCACATCACGCACTTGATGAACCTATGCTGGCGGCTTAAGCGTTTTCCGAAAGAGTGGCACACTGCTCGCATCACGACGATCTTCAAGAAAGGCCAGACGGACGATTGCTCGAGTTACAGACCAATCAGTCTGCTCGTGATCGGCTACCAGATTTTTGCTTCATTGCTGCACGCGCGTCTGGTGGAAGGAGGCACAGAGGAACGACTCTCGAGCACGCAATTTGGATTCCGCTCTGGTTACAGCACACAAGATGCTATATTTATTTTGCGGAGACAGATAGAATTGGCACACGCAGCGAAGATTGGAAAGTTACACGCATTGGCTTTGGATTGGAGAAGAGCGCTCGACTCAATAGACCCGGCGGCAATGCTACACGGACTCCGCCAATGTGGGTTCCCAGACCACCTTCTCTCCATGATCGGGGCGATCTACCGCGACAGACGGTTTCAAGTCAACGACGGTGGAGCAACATCCACGCCGAGACCTCAAGCTGCTGGCATATCCCAAGGGTGCCCGCTGTCACCCTTCCTGTTCGTCATGATCATGACTATCCTCATCCAAGATGCACGTGACGCACTTCCACAAGCAGATCGTGCTCTCTGGGAAGATGGTGAGCTCTCTGCCCTATTGTATGCGGACGATACGCTCCTCATGACCAGAAGCGCAGCAAGCGTGGGAAGACTAGTCGAAGCGGTTGCACGAGCAGGGAAATCGCACGGCATGGACTCTCACGCCGACAAGCTTCAGCTTTTGAGCATCCGGTCCGCCGACGAAATTCAGCATTCTAACGAGTCTGTAATCGAGCCTCAAGCAGACATGGTGTATCTTGGGGCTCTCATTTCCGACGATGGGCACCCAGTCCGGAACTGACGAGGAGGATTGGTAATGCGCGCGCGATGATTTCCGGGCGCTTTCAAAAGTTTGGAAACATTCTGGATTGAGCCGTGCACGCAAAACCCCGATATACGCCAGTACTGTTCTGAGCAAGCTGACGCACGGTTTCGCGACCATGTGGCTTAATGTTGCAGAACGTCGACGTCTGAACGGTTTCCATTGCAGATGCCTCAGGGAGATTTTGGGTATAGCTCCGGCTTTCCTGTCTAGAATTCGCAGCGCGACTGTCTTGCAGCTCGCGCAGCAAAGGCCTTTGACGCAGACCCTAGTGAAAAGCAGCTTCTGCTCCTAGGCAAGGCGGCCCGCGCGCTGTAGGGAAGCCTGTTCCGCACTTCAACTTTTTGCCCGCGCACGCTGACACCAGCAACCAACCAACACGTTAGACATGAGGGCGGCCGAGGTCGGAATGGGTACCGGACGTGCACCGCATGGCCGCGTCTCTGACAGGGGGCGCAGCAACCCTTAAGCGTCTGATCGAATCGGACGTCGATTGGAAGCTATGTGTGCACAGTGCTGACTTGCAGAATGTAGTATAGTCCCCCCCTCCCTCCTTTGTGTCCTCACTCCCCTCCCCCCCCCTCTGCCCTCCCCTCCGCCCAATCAGCGTTTGAAGTCTGCTCGCGTGGAGCTGCCATCTGGCCTCAAACGAGGACGCATTTGAAGTGCCCACCTGCACGGGAATTCAGTGTCCCACGCACCCCCGGGTGCATGATTGCATTGTTGGGTTGTAGGTAAAAGAACGAATATATATATATATATATATATATATATATATATGTATTGCAATAGGGGGTTCAGTCGCAGCTGACGACCATCACCCACCATCCCATCACCGTCACCATGACCACCATCACCATCACCATCACCCACGACCATCACCCACATCACCCATCTTCTCTTCTCTGACATATGGCTGATGGTGGGACCACGGTTCCTTTCTCCTCAGCTACGCAAGCTGGTCCTGGAAGCATGACAGACTTCCCCGCGGACGCAAAACAGCGACAGAAACACAATCAAAAGAGAGACAAGGAAACTGGCACAAAACCAAAAAACGACATGTGGAGGACGGCAATGACGATTGCGGGGATGATCCTTGTGGTTCGGGTGAAGATGTTACGTTACGAACGCACGACGTCAAATTGGAAGGCCTCGATACCAGCGACGATGACAACGACTATGAGGACATCTATTTTTTGCGCATACACATTCGGAGCAGGCCTTAACAGGACCACCTCTACACCAGCATCCCCTACCTATGTCACGGTAAAGGCGGCTACCAACACATCGTGGAGCTATGCGGGGGGAGAGGTGGCATCTCCGAAGTAGCCGTTACCTGAAGATTTCCCCCCGCTGGGAACCTAGACACAGTTGCGACTTGCGTGGACTTGGGTGATCCCAAGATCCAAAGGGCCGCCAACCATGCCTTTGACACTTGCTACGTTCTGGCTATTATCTCCCCGCCGACGTGCTGAAAGATTGGCCCCACTTCGTGGTTTACCAGTAAGGCAAACTACAGCAACCGGAAGAAGCACCACGGCATGGATCTCCCACGCACCAAGCATTGCGATCAGGAGGATCTTCGCCAAGAACAGCCAGACCAGCACAAGATGCGGGAACAACCAGCGGCAAATTGGACAAACGAGATCCAGTTCCGGATGCAAGTACAATGAGGAGTTCAAGTTTGCAGAACCGTTCTTGACCAATGCATGGCGAACCTGAAAGACAGCCACGGTGTACCCAGGCGCCAACCAAAGGAAGTTGCATAGTCTGATTGGTTGTAGACTGCAGGTTAAGTGGGAGGGGGCGTGGGCTCAGGTAGCCATTTTGGGTCCGTAGCGTTCGGCTCTGGCCGACGCGCGGGCGTTCCAGGGGGCCGCGGGGCGGCCATAACCACAGCCGTGCTAGTCCGCGGACTAGGTAGCGCGCCTGTGGTGCCATGGCTGTGGGCTTCCTGGGGGCGCACCTGATGATCTTGGTTACGGGCGGCGCTCTCACGGTCCAAGGGGCACTTGGCTGGCTGCCGTTCGGGCGCGGGGGACAGGAGGTCCCAGCGCCGACGCCGCCAGCCCTGCCCGGGCCGACAGCGCGCCGGCAGGCGGTGGGGGGCGAGGCAAGGGGCGAGGACCGCC